AAAGAATAAACATCTTGATTGTCCCCAGACTCTTAAAAATAAAAAAACTATACTACTGACTTTGGTGTCAGCCAACCTTGTCACAAAACCTGACAAGCATGGTAGGAGGAAAGGAAATTATCAGTCAAATTTCATATTTGAAAATATAAACCAAGTACAGCAGTGTATATAATGACTAAGTCATATTTATCCTAGGAATGCAAACTTTCTTTAATGTTTAAAAATAAGTTTATATTTGCTTCCCATGCTAATAGATTACAGTAATCTATTTAATAGATAGAGAAAATATCCAATAAAATTTACCGTCTATCCATGCAGACTAGGGATAAAAAAGCAACTTCCTTAATCTGATAAAGGATGTCCATAGAGAGCCTATAGTAACCACAGTAAACACTGAGCTGTTTCCCTTCGATATCAGGAAAACAGAATGCCTGTTATTCCTTCTCTTTAGCGCTATGTTGGAGGTTCTACCCTGTGCAAAAATTCCAAGAAAAATTAAGGAGTAGATTTGAAGATTGTGAAGAAAGGAACAAAACTGTGATTCATATGGTTATATGTATAGAAATTTTTAAAAAATCAATAGATGTGTTACTAGAATTCAGCAAGTTGCTGATGGAAAAAAATCACCGTCCTGAAATTATATATTTCTATACACCCGCAACAACAGTAAATGAAACTTGTGTGAGACACCACGTGCAAGGGTGTGGAAACTATAAAGAACCAAGAAATGACTCCAGAAATGTAAACGTGTAGAATGCTGTACTCTGTGACTTCCTCCTTCAGGATACCTGTGTTGTTCTGTTTAGATTTGGTTCCTATACAACATAAGGGAGCAAGTCCTATCCTGACAAGATGCTGTGTAGACCCTTCATTCGTCACTTCCTGAGTGTGTGATTTGGTGCCGTCCCCTTTAGTCTGATCGCAGCTTTCTGGGAGATGAGTAGATGAACTTTGCTGTGGGCTAACACAGCTTCACTGTACATGTTCCTTTGAGAAGGTGATTCTTAATTCCTACTTCCTAGGCTGTTGTCTTCATTAATAAGATGAAGCCACTAGGCTTCTTGTAAGTGCTTAGAAGATTTAGGTCTACTTAAATACCTACTATTCCAAAGACTTATTTTGGAAAACACCCCCAAAATGTCAATTCTTTATTTTCCCCCCCTCAAGCATCGAAATGGAATCTGAAATGGCTGATGAATTAAGCAGAGGCTTATAATAGAATACAGTTCTATTTTTAGGGTTTCAACTCTTTGAAATGAGTAGCATTGTTTCTTTAAAGTAGAAGTCAGTTATATCCATTCTCTTAGAACATGGAATAAACTTTTTCAGAATCTGTTTTTTAGTTACTGTGTTTTCTCTTAGTTTCCTTAGGTAAAAAAACAAAAAAACTTAGAAATTATACTTACAATTTTAGAACAGATGATTTGAAACCTACTTCTCCAAATACCTGGAGATATTAGATGGCTAAGAAGCATTTTTTTTTTAAACCATAGCTGAACTTACAAGGTAAAAGAGATGACCAAGGCCTGTAGGCCTAGCTTGAGGGGAGTGACTGGGGGTGTTGTCAGTCAAGTAATTTTGAGTCTTTGGCTTTAATATTCAGGGAGAACAGGGACTTGTTTGAGGTGGGGAGTGGGAACTGAGCCTTCTCTCACATCTCATGTAAAACCAGAAACCTGTGGAGGGTTTCGTCAGTGAAAGGAGAGACTAAAAAAAAATGTCAACCCAGTAGCAAGGGGAGAGGATGCCTGAGAGTTTTAACTAATTTGTCCTGAGGCAGAGAGGAGGCAAAGTCTCCTGAGAATTTGTGACCAGAGGCCATGCCTCTTCTAACAATTAGTCTTTGGCTACTGACTTCCCTGAGGGCCTAGCTGAAGCAGAAATAATTAGAGGCAAGCCCACAACTCACCCGGTAAAGGATTGCACTGATAAAGTTCCACCAAAGATATTAATACAAAATCACTATTAAAGGTAGAAAAGAAGGCAGTGGAAACCAGGAAACAAAAAATAGCACCATTAAAAGCCAGGCAGACTTGAAAACCAAGTAGAATAACTTAAAAGACTGATAATAGAGCTGGTTACATTTAGCTGTGGAGAGAATTGGTGAGGGGACCATACGCCTCATGAATTTTCCTAAGGGACTAAGGTCTAATTCAGAGTTTTACCAGAAGAAATAGGGGAAGACAATGTTCAAAGAACTAAGTAGACAGGATTTTTCAAAATTATTGGAACACATACTCCTCAAACTCGGAAAGCCCAATGAGCCTGAATAAAATAAATTACCTAATAATATTTTGTTAAATTCTTAGAATCCCAGAAATGGATCTTAAAAGTAAGGAGAGAGTAAAAAACCCCATTATCATCAAAGAGTGATAAATTGACAGCATGTTTCTCAATAGTAATTTTCCCTAATCCAAAAAAAAGAAAGAAAAAAGCCCTATAAAATAATACCTTTAGAGAGAGAAAACTATCAGGGAATTCTGTACTAACTTAACCTATTAGTGAGGAATAAAGGTGAAATAAAGAAATTTCTTAGTCCTAAGAGGACTAAGAAAGTCCATCCAGAGGAGATCCTTGCTAAAAGAACTAATCAAGGATATGCTTTGGCAAGACCCTGAAAGGAGTGAGATGCAGTGATGAGCAAAAGGCCAACCTTTGGGTAAACAAGCAAGTGCAAGTTGTCTGGACGAGTCTAGATGTGTGTGATGGGGCTCAAGTCAGGTGCAGGGCTGATTACCTGAGGGTTTCTATGTGTTTCCACTGTTGGGGAGGAAAGTAGCTGGAGATACTCATAATGGGGGAGGGCGGGGGAGGGGGGAGGATGGGTGGAGGGAGGGTGATTGGTGGGATCACCTCTATGGTTTCTCTTACAAGGGTACAAGTGAATCTTTCTAAAAGTAGAATATAAACGTCTTAACACAATAACTAAGAAAATGGCATAAAGGCTATGTTAACCATTTTGATGAAAATATTTCCAGTTGTATATGAAAACAGCACAGTGTACCCCATGATTGCATTAATGTACACAGCTATGATTTAATTTAAAAAAAAATCAGCATTCCACCTACCTTTCCCTCCCCAGAAAAAGATTTTGCAACCCCAATGCGGAAAGTTTATAGACAAGTTTTTCCAAACCTATGAAGAACAGATAACCCCCATTTTATACACACTGCCCCAAAGAGTGGGAGAAGAGATGATTCTTAGCTCATTCTTGAGTTTTGAGTAATCCTGATACCCGAACTAGAGTGCAGTCTGAGAATGACCCCTAATTTTTCTCACTTTAGAACACACACAGACATTCCACATAAAAATGGGAACAAACCAAATCTAGTGATGTATCAAAAAAGAAAAGAACCACCGTCAAGAAATGTTTACAGCATAGAATGGTATCTAGGAATATGAAGTATCCTACTTAACTCTAAAAGAGATTTCTACCAAAAACCTTTAGTAAATACAACATGTGATAGTCAAACATTAGAAGTAGAAACTCAGTAATGTGACAAGGCAGTTTTCTGCACTGACTCTGTTCAACACTGCATTGGAGTTCTAAGCCAGCACCCTTAAGCCAAAAAAAAGAAATGAGATCATGTGGTTTAGAAAGCAAGAAACAATACTGTCTTTTTGTTCCAAGATGACTTTTTTGCAAAGAAAATTGAAGGGAAACTGCAGAGTCCTAGATTTGACAAGAGTGCAGCATAATAGCTGGGTAAATAGCATAAATACGAAAATTAATAACTTTGCTCATTATCTATACATGGGAAATAGAAAAAGTAATTTACAATAATATCTTCGTCTAACATGTTTAAAAATAGCAATAATCTTCACCACCACAAAAAAAAGACATGTAAGATTTTTACAGAGAAAATCGTAAAAACTTTCTAAAGCATGGAAGAAAACATTTAAATGCCTTTAAGGGGTATAGCATACTATGTTCATTGACAGAAAGCTTCCATGGTTACAAATGTCAGTTCTTCCTCATTCGCCTATAAATTCACTGTGATTTGTACAAAAATGACAGTAGAAATTTTGGAGGGAATACATAGGTCAGAAATGTAGTATTGATGTAGGAGATAAATATACCAGTGAACAAAGGACAGAATCCGGAAACAGATGTACTCAGTGGCGCAGAGGTGGCCCTGTAAGTCTGTGGGGAAGAGACATGAGTCAGGAAATAGTGGTGGGTAATTAAACTGATGAGGAAAAGTTATATCGTTATTTCCTGTCA